GGGGGGGGGGGGGGGGGGGTCAATACTAATTAGGGGGTTTACACTTTCATCCGATGTTTGTGTGTTGTTGGGAGGTGTGGATGTTTATGTGTGTGTTTGTGTGTATGAATTGATTGATCAGTAGCCCATTATAGGTTGACATTTTAGTTCAGATTGAACCTCATCAAATTGAAAGCTTCAATGTTCAATTTATATTACTAAATATAATTTGTATGTATGTTATGTTATGTTGTAGATGTGGAGAAAGAACTGGAAACATTATCTTTGGTCAAGGATGCTTCTCGTTTCACAAACCAACCATCAGATCAAGATCTTGAATGGAAGTTCGAAAGTTAAAAGGTGATTGTTATTAATTTTATTTTTATTTTGACATTTTGCAACAACAGAGTAGGGTTGGGTGGTCCTCGAACGACTTAGACATATCAAAGTGAGAAGAGATTCGTTAGTCAGATTGTCCCTATTGATCCTACTTTGAGGTATGAATATAGATATAACTATACAGCGTCAATCATACTTCATCCAATCCAGACATCGATGATCGCGACAGTCATCCAGAACATCATCAGGACAGCTCCCAAACACAGGATAGTCGCGAACACAGTTTATTGGAAACAGAGGATACAGGAGAGAGAGAATCTCTCTTGATAGAGACATGCTTGCGATGAGCATAGTGATATGGATTGGATGGATTGGATTGGATGGTAGTAAATGCGATTCGAACAAACAGGAGAGAGAATCTAACACCAATCAATCAATCAAACATACTATTATAGTAACAATGCCACGTGGAAACAAAGTCCTTAACAACACTCACTTGCGCAAGCATTGGCAGATGCGCGTCCGCACTTGGTTCAACCAAGCCGGTCGCAAGGAGAGAAGAAGAGAGACCAGAGCTGAGAAGGCTGCTGCTATCTTCCCACGCCCATTGCGCACCCTCAAGCCAATCGTCCGTCCACCCACCCAGAAATACAACATCAAGACCCGTGAGGGACGTGGATTCACCTTGGAGGAGCTCAAGGCTGCCAAGTTGAGCGTTCGTTACGCCAGATCAATTGGCATTGCTGTTGACACTCGTCGCACCAACCTCTCCCAGCAATCTCTCTCGCTCAACGCTCAGCGTTTGAAGGAGTACCAGAGCAAGTTGGTCTTGTTCCCACGCAAGGCTGCCTCGCCAAAGAAGGGTGATGCCACCAAGGCTGAGATTGACAGCGCCGTTCAGAACTTGAACGTCTTGCCATTCAACCAGACCAAGATCTCTGTCTTCACTCCACGCAAGGTCACCGACGCCGAGAAGAAGTTCCAGGCCTACTCCACCATCAGAGCCGCCGCCGCCAAGGTCAAGAACTCTGGTTTGAGAAAGAAGGCCGCCGAGAAGAAGGCTGCCGAGTCCAAGGACAAGTAAATCGACCCCATTCTTGTACAAGAGAGAGATAGGATAGCAAAACTCAAATAGGACAACGTAATAAACCATTCTTTAATCAAAATATATATTATATTATATTATATTATATTTGTAGGATTGGATTGTATTGGATTAATCACCCATTCATTGGGTATCACTATCAATCAATCAATCAAATTAATCGGGATAGGACTTGTCAACCGATTTATTTGTGTGGATGTGGGGGTGTTTCGTTTCAAATTGTGCATCCATTGGTTGTTTTGAAACCTCCAATTCATTTGCAACAATGTCAGTTGTTCAATCAAACATCTTTATCTCGAGTGAGTCTGTCATTACCATCGGCGCACCATCCATCTTTATAATCATTGATATCAACATACAGATATATACAAATACAGATATATATAATGCAAAATACATCATTTGAGAATCTACCAACTCCATCAGTGTTGGTTGACGAAGATGTCGTCATTAGGAACTGCAAGAGAATGATTGAGAGAGCTCAACAGTTGGGTGTTAACATTAGACCTCATATGAAGACTCATAAGACAATGTATGTACATATTATCATTGAATGATTGATCACAATCATATTAACATCAAATAATATGAAGTGAGATTGGTAAATATCAAACTGATGGACTGCAGCTCAAGAAGATCATTGTGTCAACATTGGCTGAAGCACGTTTCTTTGCAAAGTCGGGTCAGTTTAGAGATATACTGTATGCCATCCCAATCGCTCCAAACAAGTTGCATGATGCCGCACTCATTCATGCGAGCATCGATGCCTTGCATCTGATGGTTGATCATCCAGATCATATCCGTGCTCTTATCGACTTCCGCAAAACCAACCCTACATTGTTAGCCAACAAGAAGTGGTCAGTGTTTGTAAAGATCGACTGTGGATACCATCGTGCCGGTGCCGATCCAGCCTTGCCATCAACCATCGCGCTTGTGCGCTCGATCGTCCAAGAGCACGTCCAGCACTTTGACTTCCAGGGCATCTACTCGCACTCTGGCCACTCATACCGCCAGCAGACACCTGCCGAGATTGCCAAGATCGCCATCTCAGAGGCAACTGTCACTGGTGACTTTGGAAAGAAGCTGGTGCAAGCTGGACTCCCATGTCCCAACGTGTCTATTGGAAGTACCCCAGTGTGTTGCCACTTGCCCGACAACCTTCGTGAGCTTGGTGTAACCGAGGTGCATCCTGGAAACTATGTCTTTTACGACATGATGCAGGTGGAACTAGGAAATTGTACATTGGACGACGTTGCAGTGTCTGTAGTGGGACGCGTGATATCCGTGTACCCCGAGCGCAATGAGCTCCTGATCGACGCTGGTTCACTGGCCCTTTCAAGCGACCCTGGATGCACACATCTGGTTGGTCGCCAGCCAGGCTATGGTATCGTGGCTGATGCTCCACATCTCCGTGTCGTTGGAGTCACTCAAGAGATTGGCAAGATCCAGTCGAGTGATCCAACCAAGACCATTGACTTTAGTGCCTATCCCATTGGCAAGGTGGTACGAGTGTTCCCCAATCACAGCTGTCTAACAGCAGCCATGTTTAGCAACTATCAAGTATCAGACAAGTCTGGATGTATCCATCAAACATGGATTCCAGACAAACATTGGTAATCAATCATTCTTGGTTAGTTGGATTCCATGGAACACTGTAATATTATTAAAAAAAAGACATATATCTTGATTGATTGATGATGCTGTAAATTTATTTTAATTATTTGACAACACCATGTTGATGATGCATGGTAGAATACATTTGGTGTCCAATTGATTACTTCTTCTTGTTCTTCTCACACAGATGAGCACGCTCACAAATGTTGGTGTACAATGGAGCTGTTGGAAGGTTGTCGAGAATTCCATTGATGAATGGATCATCCTGGGCTTGGATTACGCTGCACTAAATAAGCATTAAAATTAAATTGATTGATAAGTATATATTTGGTTTGTAGAAATAATAATAAATAAATAATAATTAAATAGATAATTGATACTTACAACTTCAGTTGGGAGATGAACAGTTTGGAGGATGATGTTGACAATGGGAAGAATCTCGCCAACCTTGTGGAGAAGATTGTTACATGTTTGTTTGAGAATCTTTTGAAGTTCCTCACGGGTGGACTTCAATGGGAGATGCTCATTGAGTGTTTGGAGGGCATTCTGACAGGCTCTGCATCTATCCTCACCAGCAGTCTGGGCCTGAGCAACGCAGAACATCGAAACGATGACAAGTAGAACAATTAGATACTTCATTCTTATTAATTTGGTAGTTTGTTATTTGATTATTATAAACTAAAGTAGTTGATTTGATGATTGAATAGACACTGACATTGACTACTATTTATAGAGAGTATCTTCATCATCATCATTATGTTATTCGTTCGTATCTATACATTGTAATACAATCATATTAGTGAGTGGATCATCATCATTATTATATAAATATTATTCATAGAAGTATTGATGGAGATTGCACATCGTCTATAGAGTATGTAGAATGGTATTGACAAGTCTGAATCAAATTCTAGAGTCACCCAGACGATGTATGATCCATCCTCCAATCATCATTAGTAATATTATCACTACAACTCACCCATCACTAGTGTGAAATTACATGTATACATTCTGACTTTAGATACATATAATCAAATTTAATAAGATTGATCATACACACAACTTAACATGTTCAATTCATTATTGATGTGTGAGTGTCAAGCGACACCTTGATGATTGAATTCAAAGGGGTATGATCCCACATTTAACATGACATGTCAGCAGTAGATACACAAATAATAATAATAAGAACAAAAAGGAAGATCTTCATTCATTCATTAACTACGGCACTAAATCTACATACACCAACCCAACACACTTTGAACAATACAACTACCTGATTATGGACCAGACTGATGACCATGACGACGACAAGGACGACGACACAAACAAGTTGACGATGGATGAGTTGTGGTCACAATTGAGGAGATATGGCACACTGTTTCAATCATTCAGTCAGAACGAACTGGATATACATAATACATACAAGGACCTTCATGACTACCTTACATTAGAGGAACATAAGCTCAAGAAGTCAATCACACAGCAAAGAATCAATGTAGAGTTGCTTATCAAACAGACCATTGCCACACTGTCCACGATGCATAGTCATCCAAGCACTACTACCACTGTTGCTCCTAAAGTTACACATCATCACAACAAGAGGAAGTTGAGTGATAGTGATCATGATGATGACGACTATGTGGTAGATCAACAATCATCAAACAAGGGTAGTAGTGGCGGTAGTGATCCATTATCAACAGATGACTTGGTTGATGTTATACTCAAACATCATACTGGAGGACAGAGTACTGATCAATTCATTGATAAGATTGATCAACTGGGTGGTGGTGGTGGCCTAAAGAAATGGTTGGGCAACGTTGAGAGGTCAATGGACATGGACATGGACATGAATAGTACTGCCAATGTGGACAATTTATCAATACGATTCAGTCATGAATCAATTGAGGATGTAAAGTGTAAATTGAGAGAGATCTATGAGATGGTGCGAAACAGTGATGATCATGATGATGATGACAATGAAGAGAGGTCAACCTCAATAATGCTATTTGGTGAACAAAAGTATCTGCTCAGGATGCCTACGATGGTGGCTGAACCAGCTGATCAAAGGATTGCCCATCCAATATTGCTCAGTAACGACTTTAACTCGTGCAACTTGGTCAATGGCACACATCTATATTCATTGGCAATGCGTCCTGGATGTAGAACAATGTATATTATGCGCTACAGTCTACTGGAGAGCATGCGTGATCAATTGCTGGCGTTCCAGGTGCTGCATGAAGACCAACGAGTATTGGCCTCATGCTTTGATGGCCACCACTCAATCTATATCTTTTACTACCTTCCAGGCAGTCAGCCACCGATTGATTGCTACGATTGCCAGTCCAGACAACTGCGTCGCGTGGGCACCTTCCGCACAGGCTTTAACTTTTGCCATCCATTCGTTGCCAGCTCACATCCGGGTCGTGTCTACTACCTCGTCAGTCTGACGGCCATCTATCGACGTCACTCACTAATGTACATTGACTTGGCACAGGATACGGTCCAATGTCACATGGATATCATCAACAACAGTGACAAGGTATTCGAGTCTATTGTATTTGCTGTTAGTGATGGTCGTGACCTACTCTATATCCACGAGAGGATTGATTTCTATGTCTACACGATATCAACCAAAGAGAAGAAGCAACTACAGCAGCAGCAACAACAACAGCAACAGCAGTATGGTGATAGAATAATATGTATGAATAGTGACAATAAGATTGTTAGCATTTACAATGTGGAGCAGGATCAATGGTCAGAGGTCGAGTACTCGTTCGCGAATTCAAGTGGTACATCAAGAGATTCATTAGTACCTGTGGCTATTGGAGCAACTCTTTGGTACAAACTATGCCAACAACAACAACAACACGGAAGTGGACAGACCAAGTGATCACGGTGATGTCCAGTCCAGGGTTCCAGTGTGACTGGCCTGATCAGACGTCTTGAATGAACCCACCCATCACACACTACCCAAGGGGTGATGCTTGAAATTCAAAAAAAAAATTGTCACAATTCTTTGATCACAAAACAAACAAACAAAAACAAACAAACACATCTCACTCACTTACTTCTTCACATTCATTAATCACACTACATAACATAACATATATATCTTTATATAAATAATAATAAAATATGAGTGAATCAGCTGCTACTACTGTATGTTGTTGCTTAATTAGCTTGTTCGAGAGAGCGTGACAGAAAGAAATAGAAGATAGAAGATTTAGTACATACTAATACATGTCGACCATCATTCATTTATAGGATCAAAGTGCAACACGTGTAAAGCTAGTCGTTGTTGGTGATGGTGCTGTTGGAAAGGTATGAATAACAATAACAGATAATTAATGTAATCAATGTAGGATAAAGACACTAATCACATAGTTTACAACCTTGTCTAGACATGTCTGTTGATCTGTTATGCACACAATGAATTCCCATCAGACTACGTACCAACGGTGTTTGAGAACTATACAGCTACTAGAAAGAGAAACAACGAGGAGATCAAGGTTCACCTTTGGGATACTGCCGGTCAAGAGGAGTACGACCGTCTCAGACCTCTGTCCTACCCAGGTGCCGATGTAGTATTGCTCTGTTTCTCAACCATCAGCCAGGGTTCTTATGAAGCCATCAGAGATAGAGTATGTTGTTGTTGTAGTTGTTGTGAAGTGTCGAGTCTATCAATAGACTTGACATTGATTTATATTAACACTCTTCCTACTTCGCTACTCTTTAGTGGGCACCTGAAGTGAATCACTATATTCCAGACGTTCCACTCATCCTCGTTGGAACAAAGATCGACTTGAGAGAGGCTCAGCACCCAGACCCCAACACTGGCAAGTTTGAGCCAGTGACAATGGACATGGGCACTTCGATGGCCAAGCAGATTGGCGCCGCCTTCTACCTGGAGGTGTCGGCCAAGACACGTGAGGGTCTTGAGGCAGTGTTCAGCACGGCCATCGATCAAGTGTTTAAGCAACGTGGCGGTGACACCAAGAGTGATCAGACCAGCCAGCCAGGTGCTGTTGCAATCGAGAAGAAAGACAAGAAGAAGAAGAAGCCATGTATCATTTTATAAATCATTAACTCAATCATCATTGTTCACAATATTATTTACTGTTGTGACATCCACTTATTATTGTTGTTGTCTGTCTACGTAGACACAACTTAAGCCATCTTGGTAAAGGGATCTAATCAATCTTTGTTTGTGCCCAGGGGTCTAGGAGTGAATGGGCAACTTTGCACATCAAGACAAAGAAAATATCGTCACCAGTTTAAACCCTCTTGGATGTTGATCACTAAAGTTAGACCAATCAAACATTCATTCATTATGTTGATTAATCCAACTAAATAGATAACATTATGTCTTCCAACAACAACAACAACAACAACGATAACAACAACAAAGAATATCTTCAATTGGAATGGAGTTCATTCCCTGACCAACTAACTCTGGATGCCGCCTTCGAATTGCTAAAGTCAAAGTTCAAGATTTTCAAGGAGGAATCAAAGGTAAAGGACTAATCACCATCATATATTATATGTGTATGTTAATAATATTATAATATTATTAGATCAACTTCTTGGAGAAGTCAAAGAAGTATTTGACCTTTGAGTTTGGTCGATTGGAAAAGATAGTTTCAATCATAGTACAATCTGTTTATACAGTAAAGGCAAGAGAGGCTGGAATACCTGATCGACTTGGTGACATCATAGGCAACACTACCAAGTTTGTAGATGAATACCATCACTTCATTACATTGTATGATTATGAAATCAAAGATATCATCGTTTTGGAGTATGCCAACCAGTTGGAAACAATCCAGACAACAATGTGCGATCTGAGCAAGCTGATCAATGATCAAGTCAACGAAGTGGTAAAGTTGGTGGACAAGGTGGTCCAGGAAATGGAGGTCGAGGTCAGAAGCTTGAGAGGTTCTATTCTTATTGGAGCAGTCTCAACTATTGGTAACCTAGCATCATACTTTGGTAGTTTCAATTGGAAGCCATATTTAGGCCATGATCAAGGACGCTCACTGGCTTTGATTGGACCAGTAGTATCGATGATGGTCACTTTGGTCAAAGGTATCGTCAACATCGCCGACAGGGGCATTGACTTTTACAAGATGACAATGGCCATTAGAAATCTCAAAGCATGTGTACCCGAGATCAATAAGTACAAGGATTACATCAACTTGTTCATGAGGGGTATTGGACTGAGGGAGCAGTTCATGAGAGCCCTGGGCAAGGCAACTCAACAACATAGTTGTGTAATCTGCCTTGGAACACTGGTCAATCCTCACTTCTCAAACGATGGTGAATCATTGACCTACTATTGCTACGACTGTATTGCCAAGTGGATTCAATTGTCCAAGACCAATCCCAAGACCAGAGAACCAATGGAGATGGATCATCTCTTCCAGTGCAACCAACAACAGGTCGATACCATTAATCGTTGTGAGGTCATCAGAAAGCAGTTCAAAGTGTGTCATATATGGAGTTAAGCATGCATTCGAGGTCAACAAAACACCTTATATATAACATTTATTCCTCTCCTCTCCCATCATTAAAAGACCTATTTGTTAACCAACATTACATTGATCAAGGATAAAGACTGTTGTCTCAACGTTCAGAGAGTACACCTTTCCAAGTTCAGTCATGAACTAATTTTAGAGCTACCCCCCCTTTCCATTCAGACTCATTCATTCAAAGTTCACAACACCACATGAACAGATAGATATTATTAAATATTTATTATTTGTAATTAGAAAGATAAAGAATTGTAATATATCTCTCTGTTGTGTAGTCTAGTCTTCATGTACAGCAGTAACAGCAGTAGCAGCAGCAAGTTGTAAATGATGTCTGATTCAAATACTATACCCACCATCAAGGTTGACAATCTACAAACAAAGGATTCAGTACCAACAACAACGACAACAACAACATCATCAGCAACAGCGTCAGTAGAGAATAGTCCTAAACAGACTTGTAAAGATAATGACCATTCAAGTTTAACAACAACAACAGCAACAACAGTTGTGAATGGACACGATTCACAACAACAACAACAACATGTAGCACCAGCATTGACCAAACTGCCACTATCACCTGTATCAACAAAACTACCATTATTTTCATCGACATCATCAACAACATCATCAACAACATCATCCAACGTTGGCAATGAGCATGTGACTGCTCCATTGACACCAACTACACCCACGTCTCCCAATCCAACACTCATTCCTCAGGCTGACCTCTCAAGGTACTTGAGAGAGATTGAGTGTAATGCACCACAGTCTGCCATCCAAGCATTGAATGAACTGATGGCAAGTGCACAGACTAAACAACTATCTAATGATGCAACCTTACAATTGTTGCAATGGATACCAAAGTATATATTTAGCGTCCTCAATCTTAGGAAGTAAGTGATGAAACACACATCAATATCAATGGACCAAGATCAATCGAACGCTCATCTACTAACACATCATACCAAACAATCAATCAAACTTTTAATAGTAGTAACAGTAATAACAGCAGTATCAACACTAGCTTGAGTGCAGAAACAAAGCTCAGCATCATCTCATTCTTCCAACAATGTATATACACGACAATAAGCTGCCTTAGATATGATGTGGCAGACCTCTGGCTGGGCTTTGCTCGCATGTTCAACCTGCAGCACTCTTTCTACTCGACGATCAAGTTTGACTCTATTGAGAAGGAGGCATTCGCCGGCAAGGAGTCACTCTATTTCAAGAAACCAGACACTGTCCACTCGATGTTCTACTATCACAATCTCATGCTACTTGAAGAGAGCAACTTCTTCCAGCTGATCTTGGAGCACGTGACCACGCGCCAGGTCTCCCTGGCCAAGCTGCGGGCCATCATGAAGACCTTTGTAAACATCAAGGACAACATCAACCTGGTCTTCCTCAATCACTACGTGCCACAGCTCAAGGACGCCCTCTTTGCCTTCCTGCCCGACCTCTTCTTTGAGGAGCTGCCACCACTGGAGAAGGAGGCATTCAAAGAGGTCTGCAACTCCATTCAACACTTGCTGGCCACAATCATGCCTCAGGCAGATATCACCAAGGCCTTCCAGGAGTTTGACTTGAATCGCGCACTAAAGAGCTTCCAGAGTGTCAACCTGGAGCGCAAGCTACGCGGTCTGCGCTTCATCAAGAAGAGTGCCAAGTGGACGCTGAGCAGTAGTGAGCAGTCATCCAAGGGTGCCTTTGGTCTGGGTGGATGGCTCAAGAAGCCGAGCACCAAGTCGTCGCCGTCAGTGGTGAAGAAGCCCAACGATTTCATTCAGAATGGAACAACCACCAACAACACAAGTAATGCTGTTGGTGGAAACAACAACAACAACAACTCACCATCCAATGTTGATCAACAACTACTTCTCACATGGACACTAAAGAATGAGATTGTGGAGAGCTTCTGTTTGATATCCGATCAACCAGATATCATTCGTAACGGACTGCCCGTGATGATATTCCTGTGTCAGAACAACAAGCTGAGCAACACCCATCTGGAGCTGCTCTGGAACTCATCGATCGGCAAGCACGAGTCCGTCAGGAGCACAATATACAACGCGTTGCTCGACCTCGTTGGCTACCTGCATCTAGAGCAGCTGGACCATATCTACGACGTCATCAACAAGACCATCTCGACACTAAAGTCCAGCGAGTTTGACAACGATCTGCAACAATTCCTGTACAACCTCTCGATGATCTCAATTCAGCATCCAGACAACAGCGACCTGTCCGCCAACCATAAGTGGTACGGCGTGGACCTCTTCTGGCGTCTGATGCAAGACGGCAACACCGTCGGCTCTGGAGATCAGGTGCTCTGCATGCGATCGCTGCCCCTACTCGTGGCCCTACTGCGTCTGCCCGAGTGCGCCACACTGCGCACACAATATATCGATCAGTGCGTGGAGAATCTACGCACGTTCAACTCTGTACATCAGTCACTGTCACTCATCATCAGCATCGTGGAGTTGTTTCCCAAGAAGCAGCAACGCGGCGTGCTCGAGTCGCTCGAGAGCAAGCACAAGATATTCGACCTGTTCTTCAAGGAGATCTCACACTACAAGAAGGTTGTGATGGGTCGTTCCGCTGGACTAAGTTTGTCATCGGTGGAGGCACTCAACCTGGCGGTCATTTTCGGGCTCTTCCCACACATCCAACAGATTCAGGGACGCTTGGAGTTCCTTGAGTACATCATCTCGCAGACATCCATCATGCTCAACATCCAACAGGTCGACCTTCTGTGGGACGCACTGGTTCGCGACGCCATGACCCCAGAGGAGAAGGAGATCTGCTTCGCCTGGCTCAAGAACACCAAGTTGCAGGGAAAGGAGCGTATTGCCTTCCCTGAGCAGGTGGTCCGTCATCTATTCCTCGAGAAGATGTCCAACCTAGACTGGAGCAGCATGGGCCTGTCCTCTTACTGTGTGTTTGAACGGTACTTCTTCTACATCAACGAGAAGAGCAATAAGATCAAGAAGATTCAGGGTTCAATCTTTACTGGCGACCTGTTTGCTCAACAACTTGGTCTGCCAACGACAAAGGCCAAACAGTTGTCCTCTCCAGCACAGTCCCCAGCCAACTCTCCAAGCATGTCATCAGCATCACCCCAACAAATGCCACCGCTGATGCAGGGCATCAATCCATCGATGCAGCCATCAACCGCTGGATCATCCAATGACCCGTCAAAGGCCACATCCAATGACTTTTCACCAAGTGACTATTACTTGGTCAGTCTGGAGCTTCTCGGTATCTCACAGCTTTGGTCTGCAGCACTGAGCTCACTTTGCATTGAGGTCAGCGACCAGGCCATCATCACGCTCAACACGTTGTATCTCAGCGGTGACAAGTCCAACAACAAGTTCAAGGAGGAGTACATCAAGACGTGTATGGACAACATCACTAAGTCACTGGCCACCGCCACCACCAGTGCCACCTCTGTGAATCGCATCTGTCGTGCACTGCTCATGATTAAATCATTTGCCAACTGCGAGTACAAACAGTCCGAGGCCGCCGACAGCAAGGCGATCAACAAACTCAAGTCACCGCTCTTCTTCTCTTCCAACGCACCTGTCAACCCTCCTCTGATGCCATTCTTTGTCAAGTTGGATCGAGGAGACAGCTACGTGATCTCAGACATCACCGGCACCGATACACTCAGAATGCTCAAGCGCAAGGTGGCCTGTATGTATGGCCAACCAAAGCCTCCAGTCCGCTCACTCAAGGTGTTCCTTGGTGAGAAGGAGCTCAAGGACGATGACAAATGCATGGAGGAGTTCAAGATATTCGATTCGGCTGGCTCACAAAACTATCCCATTCTTATCAAGAAGTCGTCGCAGTCCAGTATTCAAACGACATCGACATCCAATGGTACATCGACAACTCCTTCCACTCCTTCATTAGTGGGCAGCAGCAGTAGCAATGGTGGTGGAAAGGAGGACGCAAAGAAGGACAAGAAGGCAAAGAAGGACAAGAAGGTGGACAAGGAAAAGACAAAGGCTGGTGAGCAAGACGTCGAGTCTACCACACCGGACGATGACGATGACTTGGTCGACCTACTTGATGATACGCCCCTCGTAACCATGGCATTGGAGACGTTGCAGAACCAACTTGGTGGATGTGGACTCACCGGTGACCTGCAGTTGCGTAAGGTCCAGGAGACCAAGTCCAAGAGCATTGGCACCAAGATCAAGTCTGAGAACTCATTGGTGACGATCATTTCAAAGCCAGTCTACTTTGATCAGATATTCAATCTACTGGACTTTGACAATGAAATTGCAGAGAATGCATGGGTGTTGTTGGGTGATCTACCCATCAACTCCAAGGTGCTTAGTGATATAAAGGCATTCAAAGGTAAACATTCAATCACGAATGATGGTCTACCGGTTCACAGTTACTAACGGTCCCCTCATAGACTCAATGATACCAACAAACTCAATCTACAAGTCGATATACTACCTAAGAGTGTTGGATTCAATGCTTGATGGTACCACTGACTGCACGTTCAACACAAGCACCACGACCAATGACAACAACAACAACAACAACATCACCAATAACCCAGCACTTCAAGAGATCAAGACACAGTTCATTCAAAAGGGAGTCATTGACAACTTGGTACAATTGCTCAAGCAGATTGGTACGACAGCTCATAGAGGACACCTCAAGGTATTCTATCTCCTACTCAAGATTCTCTATAAGCTCTCGGTTGTGAGTGGAGCGACACCGCCCATCAGCAACGAGTTTAGGAGTGAAGCTGTGACGCAGCTCCAATCACCAGAGTTTGTGTGCAAGGTGTTCCTCCTCATGTCGTCAGCACCAGACTTCCAAAGACTACTTCCAAGCACCTCGGGAAGTAATAACGAGTCGTCCTCACATGATTTCCACATGATGTACCACTATGGCATGGAGATCCTACAGGTGTCGCTACGTAACCCACCCACTCAGTTCATTGTCGACATGTCCAACGTCCGTACTGAATGGACCACATGGCTGAAGGCCCTGTTACTTGAGTGCCAACATCCAAGAGTTCAGATCAGGGCTTCACAGATGGTCATTGCCTTGTCCACGCAGGAGAATACCAACACACAAGACGAGCGACAATTGCGATCACTGTTCTTCCTCGCCCGACTCCTGTCCTTCCTTCCCACCATCAATCAGTACTATGAGACAGCCGAGCAGTTCTTCTGTCTACTGTCACAGCTGCTCAACATTGGATATCCAACATCGTCGCCCTCTGGATCACCCAAGCAGAAGCACGTTGTAGAGTCGGTCGTACTGGACAGCAACAACAAGCTGGTGCTCCAACAGCTGGTGCACTATGAGAACGACAACGAGGAGTCCTCAGACTTTGTCAAGTCGTTGATGCAAAACTTGATCAAGCAGTTATTGTCCATGCCAATTCGCGAGCTATCCTCACATCAAAAGAAGGATCACATACTCGTTGGCATACTCAATGTCATTCGCAACATCATTCGAAGACGTCCATCTCTAAAGGCACTGTGCAAGGATAATGAGCTACTTCAGTACCTCTTCAAGACATGCCTCTTCAAGACACCGACTGCCAACGACCATGGTTCACAGATGCCACCCTTGTGCAAGACGCGAGAGTCAAGGCTGGCGTGCTACCGTCTGATCAAAGATCTGGCAAAGAATGACTACAACAACTTCTTCTTGACCGAGCGACTGATCTCTGAGATCATGGAGCGTGTTGATCCCACCAACGATTGGAACTACAGTCCAATCGATCGTGAGAAGACTATATACAACTATGTTGGTCTCAAGAACCAGGGTACCACATGCTACATGAACTCTCTACTCCAACAACTGTTCCATAGCACCAGTCTCAAGGAGAGTGTTCTAGAGCTCAATGCCAACGAAGGATTCAAACAACTACAACAACCATCAAGTCCACAGCCAACACAGAACCAACATCAACAACCTCAACAGGTGGACATCCAAACCAATGGTATTGACCCTCAGCAACAAAGCCACCTTCAGACCAACCTCCTCAACCAGGTACAGCTGCTCTTTATCTACCTTCAAGAGAGCAGCAAGAGATACTATGACTCGATCAACTTTTGCAAGTCCCTGACCAACTATGATGGAACACCGATCAACTTGGGCATTCAGATGGATGCTTTCGAGTTCTTCCATCTGCTGCTCGACAAGATGGAAAAGGCACTCAAGACCATCGTACCGGACAAGCAGGACATTCTCAAGGAGGCCTTTGGCGGCAAGTTCACAAACCAGTTCATCCCACGCAATTGCAATCATCGCTCACACTGTGAGGAGCCATTCTACTGTGTGTCGCTGGAGGTCAAGAACAAACGATCAGTGCTCGAGTCGTTGGATCTATTCATCCAAGAGGAAAGTCTTCAAGACTACAAGTGTGAGTCATGCAATGATCGTGTTGAGATCACCAAGCGATGTCTCATTGAGAAGCTCCCCAACACACTCATTCTCCATCTCAAGAGGTTTGAGTTTGATGTATGTAATCTTGATCAAATATCAGGTGACACTAAAACTAACCAATCAATAATACTTCAAGTTGGAGAACATGAGGAACATCAAACTGAATGACTACTGTGAGTTCCCAAAGCAGATCAACATGGGACCATATACTAGAGAGACAGTTGAGTCTAGGTCATCATCTAAGTCCACCACCAACGTGTCCATCATCAAGAGATTGGCCTCACACGATCAGTTGTACGACTTGAACGGCATCGTTGTTCATCATGGCACTGCAGACTCTGGACACTACATCACCTTGGTCAAAGACTCTAGTGGTAATTGGTTTGAGTTGAACGATACATATGTACAACCATATGACGAGAGAAGGATTGAACAGGACTGCTTTGGAGGCTTTGAGGACGTCAGGGAGTTTGACAAGGCCACACAGAAGTATATAATGGTGCGTCGACCAAAGACTGGCAACGCCTACATGTTGTTCTACAAGAAGATCAACAACAATCCAGAGGTGGCGCCTCAGCCATCAACACCAGTTACCAACATGGACATCAACAGCTTGTCGGTCCCATCACCAAACACGGAGTCGCAACTGGTGTCCACCAAACCAAAGATACCAAAGGAGGTATTAGAGACCGTATGGAACGAGAATCGATCATTCCTATTGGAGAAGTACCTGTTTGACGTTGACTTTACAACTTTCATTTGGGACATTGTCAACCTCAACCACAATCCAACCTTTGATTCTCTGTTACCAACCAAGTCCACCACTGTTCAATCAGCTGACCAGATATGTAAGTACAACACTACTTATGGATGGATGTCACATCGCTAATCAAACATCGCAACTCCACATCCACAGTGGCACTTCAATCTAGCATCAAGTTGGCAACTAGGTACATTGTGGACATTTACTCACACGCTAAGGAGAGGCCCTTGTTGGACGTGTGGGCCTATCATCTGAAGCGACTGATGAGAGACAGTGTACAGGGTGCAGAATGGTTCATTCGATATCTGGTCGAGAACAGGAACATCATGAGAGGACTTATCATGGGCTGCTACTTTGAGAAGACCAGACAGACCTTTGTTGACGTCATCACCTTTGCCTTCCTACTTCGAACCAATGGACCAAAGGAGCCCCTGTCCAACACTACGATTGCATTCCTCAACATTCTCATATCATTCATCAAGACTGTCAGAGACTATCCCAAGAGGGCCGTTCAACAGCTGTTTACAATGTGTCTGAGCATCACAATGACATGTGACAAAGAAGTAAGTTCATAGATGAATGGATAGATATGAGATCAGGCACTGACACAAACACGCACCAAACAGAGAGAATTCTTGTTGCAGAGAGGTGCGATTACAAAGTTGATATTGAACTATATTGGCTCATATGTTCCCAACCCTACATCAATGTCATCAACTGTTGGCTATTCACCTGCCAACTATAGTCAAAGCCTGCCACCACCAACGAGCAGTATCATAGGATCATCATCATCACCGACATCATCACCCTCTTACTCTGGTAGCAACATATCATTCGAAAGCAACAAGATGGTGGACTTCCTTTGCTACCTCATTCGATGTTGCCAGCCACTACAGAGCAATCTGATGAGCTCTCAATTGAACAACTATCCAACCGAACGTGACAAGACCAAGCCAGTAGTTCACGTCATCCCAGATCCAGAGGCACCACAGTCCAACTCTGCGTACCGAGTCATCTCAGAGACACATTCCAATCATGTCTTTTCCGACACGACCCTTGTGGCCGTTCTCTCAAAGGTAACATATGCATTACACTTCAACTTGCTCCTCACTTCACTAACATGGTGTATGCATACAATAGAGTTTCCTTTTGAAGTTGCTCAAAGAGAATGGATGGTGTGAGAGTGTACGACAGATGATTGCCCATATGTCTTGGAACAACAAGTCAATCAGTACACATTTCTTCAACATCATCAAAGAACTACTACTCAAATCAAACCCCAACCTCTACCAGTACATCTTCCCAGCATTGACCTCACTTCTCGAGATACACGACCCACTAGCCGAGTGGAGGGTCGACTTCGTGATGTCCTCATTGCTAAAGGTATGTCACCTAAATAACCTCGTATTATGTAAGGATGATCACTAACGTCCTTGTAGCTTCCAGACAATATGACACACAACCAAGATGGTCAGGAACACTTTATCAGATACCTGTCATCCATAACAATATCCAATCAAAGACTACCAGTCAACTCTGAAGAGTTTGCAGCATGGAGGATCAAGAATAAGGATGCCATCGTACGAGCAATCAAAGAAGCATCCTATCATTAAAGTTCTGTGTGTTTGTTATTATATATAACTTATTTAATTGGATTCTATTGGTTGGTACCCAGTTGCCTGTGACCTTGATTTGAACCGTCTATATACATATAAAGTGATGGCTCCAATGAGTGTTATACCCACTGCCGTTCCAAGTATAATACCTCCAATATCGGCATTTGACAACTAATAGGTATTATACTTTGATTAGTTTGTGATTGATCGAGTGTACAGTAGGATAACATACCGATGGCTTCTTATGATGGATATTGGCACAGAAGGCTTGACCAATGGTTAAACAATCGCCCTGACAAGAGACCAATGGATATGTATAGTTCACAGGGTTCTCTATTGTGATCTGACTCTCTTGACAGATGATAGGCTGTGTGTTGTTGGGCACATAGTATGACTCTTCGATGCGGATGTTGAGTGTTCCATTGGATACAATGGAAATATCATGTGGTTTGGGTGCCGTCCGTACAAAGCGACACCACTCAAACGTGACAGTATGTACGTCCTGGATGTAGGCGACATCACCTTGCACTGCTTCGTTGTCTTGGAATGTGGAGTTGTATACATAACAGATTGTCTGATTGATAATTCGGAATGCAGCACCAGATGAATTGGATTGAGTTGCCGTGTTTCCAATAAAGATAGAGTTGAACAGATGCATGTAGTGGTCACCTGAATCACCCTCCAGAACAACCTGACTGCCAGTGTTGTTGTAAAACAGAGATGTGTCCACGTCGATCGTGCCACTAACAGAGTGGAGTGTCGCCTCCATCACTCTGTTGTTTGAGAACACCGAGTTGAACAGCTGAAGGATGTCGATGGATGAATGAACGATGGAACCATTGTCGGCCGAGTTTTGATCAAACAAGGAGTTCTGGATGATTGTCGTCGATGAGAGTGAGTGAATGATTCCGTCGTCGGCACTGTTGCCAGTGACATTGCAAAAGATCATCGAGGAAACCAGGTTCTGATGCGAGATAAGGATGGCACCCCAGTTGGCTGTGTTGGAGCTGAAGGAACTGTTGGTGATATACATCTCAGGATATCCCGTGTCATTGAAGTAAAAGACACCGCCCTCCGAGGCATTGTTGTTGATGAAGCTACAATAACTGATGGCGATGACGGTCATTGAGAGTGAGGGTGGCTTTGAATGTAGTACACCTCCCTTGTGTGCATTGCCATTGATGATGATAAGGTTGTTCAGGTTGATGTTGGTGATTGCTGGTGTCTCCGCCTCGACAGCAGTATCATTGTCATGGTCAATGTCGATGTTGATGAATCTTGCACTACCTGCCAGATCGATAGTAGCTGGCTCCATTGGATCGATCGATGACAATGTAATGTTGATGTTGAAGAGAATGAGGTCGCTATTATTCACGCCGGTGTAGTACCTGTCACACAAGATGACATTGAGAGTGATATCGCTGACGGTAGTGTTTGGGTTGGTCAACCCCAGTGTCTGATTGTAGTATGAGTCGAGTGCAGCCACTATTGAAGAACATCCATTTGTTGCTGTCTTGCCACATGTGTCCTGTCCATCATAGGATGCAGTCTGGTTGACAAAGATAGTGATCACAGTGTCACCTAGTACTGGGTCTCTAACGTTGATTGCTGCGTGTGTAACAGTAGCAGTGACAAGGATCAACGATGTGAGCATCATCATCATCATCTTTAGTGATGATGGGGATAACTTATACATGTTGGTTTATCAATACTAGATAATGAATGATTCATCGTTGACAACGACAGTTTTTTTATCAAGAACAGGGGAAAAAGTATCTTTCAGGTGAACTTTCAGTACTATATCCAATTAATTGGTAATTATTCAATCACAGACATGAATTGTCTTTTAAAACATAAATATATATCAGTAAACAATTAATTGAACAGTACTATTTTTTTATTTATTATCTGACTTTATCAATCTGTCTATATCAGATTTGTGTATGGTTGTGATCACCTATTGTGCCTCTTTGCCAACTGTTTGACCAATAGTGGTTCTTGTTTTTTGCAGACGACTTTGATGGTTTTTCGAAGGATAAAAATTAATTAATTGGATGATTGAGTGGTGATTGATGGGTCGTATTGTGACGTCTCTCTTCTTCAAGAGAAGTTGGTGGGTGTTGTTGCTCAATCTAGTTATTCATTCATTACATCTTTAGTCACATTGTACAATTAAATTATAACAATACTATATAAATAAATAAATCATGGGAAAGAGCGTAAATATCATCACAACCAATAATCGATTATTAGTATTGTATATGGTTATTAACAAAATCAATTAATGTCATATCAATCTGATCCAATAGATGAAGATACCAGATGATGCCAAGGCATTCCCAGACTGCCAAGGCCCAATGACAAAGCAAAGTGATGCTTCTAGCTGGAAGAAGAGATACTTTATTCTCAAAGGAAAGATGTTGTATTACTCTGCTTACCAAGGTGTATGTATACATAAAACATTTCTCATTGATCCCCAGAGACTAACACCTCATCGAATAGGACTTATACTGCAAGGGATACATTGAGTTGACACCAGCCACAATGATCAGGAAGAACAACAGTCAAGAGGTACATATCATCAGCAGTGGAATGCCAATCAAATGCTATGCACCAAGCGCGGCCGAATGTGACATCTGGGTGAGCACTCTACAGAGGAACATACAGACGATCTTTGGTGTCGTTGTCGTCTCGTCCACACCAACCGTCGTCCATCGATCAGCACCATCATCCACGGTCGTCTATCAGTCAGCGCCACAGATGGTCATGACTACTCAGCCAACGACAGTGATCCACACTGCACCACAAATCATCACTGCCGCACCACAAGTAGTGATGACACAACCAACCGTCATGTACCATCAGCCACAACAAGTGTATCACCAGCCACAAGTGTACCATCAGCCACAAGTGCACTACGCACCATCACCATACGTACCACAGGCTCAAGCATACTATCCACCACAACAAACAACCTATTACTATCGCTAATCCAATAGTAGTATTAGTACCAAATTGTTTTAAATAGTATATATATAACAATGTAACATAGATTATCTAGTAATAACAAATAATAAACCAGCGCTCAGTTTTATCTCCCCCTCTCTCACTGATCAATTGTGTGTTTCAATGTTTGATGTTGGGGGTTGAACAGTTCATTCAGCTATTCTCTAAACTAGATCACTACACTCTCTTAAAGATTAATAGATTATATTTATATATATATACACCAACCTCAGTCTATGAGTAAATCATTCTTTAGAAGTGGAGATAGAGGAGGAGGTGGTAGTGGTAGTACAGATAAACAGACACCAACTGCCACCTCTGGATCTACAACTCCAATGACTCCATCACGTGACGAGTTTGAGAAACAAAAGATGATACAAGAGTTGAAGGATGAACATGAGAGAAAGATATCGGCAATTGTATCATGTCTCCAGGAAAAGTCAGAGGAGAACATCGACCTGCATGCAAGGGTACAACGTTTGGAACGAATACTGGAGCAGAGCCAGCAGGAGCACCATCGTGCTGTCGAACAACTGCACGATCAGTTGGCACAACGAGACGATGACCTGCGCACAGAGAAGAAGATATCGGCAGAGATGGAGCGGAGGACTCACTCAATGAGTGAGCTGTTCAATGAGATGGCCGGTGAGAACCTCAAGCTTCGTGAGGTGCTGGAGGAGACCCGCAATAGGATGATACAGTCACAGAAGGAGGCAACAAACGAATTGAACAATGCCGTCAAGAAGACTCAACAGCAGGCCAATGATAAGATCACAATGCTACAGGCTCAGGTCGTTCAACTTCAGTCACAACTTGGCATTGTACCAGGTACCAATAACCTTACGCCCAACAAGGTGTCGTCGTCGTCCAAGTTGACACAGCAGACATCTGGTTCATCCCCACCACTACCAATGTCACCAAACTTATTGTCCAACAATTCCATCGACAACAATGAGGCACTGATGAGCTTCTGTCTGCACGAGATTGAAAAGGGCGAACAGATGATGGGTCTGGATCACCTGCTGGCCACGGACGAACGATGGATCACCAAATATCGAGAGGCAGCACCAAGGGCCATCACAAAGTCCCTTCTGGACAAGTTGATCGACAAGGTGGAGATTGATGGCACCAAGTCATCAGAGACGATAGAGCGACTGCGAATGTCACTGCAGAGTCTAGAGTCCAGGAATGACGACCTGATGCGTGAACAGGAGATAGTAAAGACCAAACTAAAGGACACAGAGGACATCAACTTTAGAGAGAAGCAGCGTGGCGATGCATTTAGAGACAGTGCTGTCGAGTACGAAAAGAAGATCAAAGAGTTGGAGACTAGAATGTCAGACAACTTGAACAAGGAAGGTCACAGAAGGTCAGAGGCAGAGTATAATGCCAAGCGTCTGAAAAAGAGAGTGGAAGAGTTGGAGTTCTTATTGGAGGAGCTAAAGGATGATGACGATGACGACGACGACGACGACGACGACGAAGATGAAGATGATGAAGAACGATCTGATTCCAGCGACTAAATGTAGTATTATTATTATCACAAAACACAAATCATTACTTGATTGATTCAATCATTGGCGAGGGTGGGAAAAAGGGACCATTCATTGTATTACAACAACAACAACAACAACAACAAATATCATGTCCATGGACAAGGTTATCTCTCTTGCTGTTATTATTTGATTGCTTGTGCTTGGTGAACAAAAGAGACTCTATGATTGTACTTTGGACAAGGTCTTTTTGGTGGGGGATTGTTCAAAGGGTACTTGGTCCGAGTTTTATTGTTTGGTTGGCAGACTTTCATACGCGTGGGGTAAGGGGGATGCACGAAAGAATTCTTTTCATGGGAATGACACCAGTAGAGCGACGTGTGTGGGTAACTCTGCCTTGGACCAGTAGAAGCGTGTGTGATCGTGTCCATTATCAATAACATTATTACAAACAGACATTGAGGACATACTGCATGATGTCGATATATGTCAAGAGTCCATCTTCTGATGTTGATACTGTTACATCTCTCTTTCTCTCCTTGTTCGAACAAGAATACATTGTACAACGCCACACACGCACCACCTCATTGATAACTCTTTAACTCTGAAATCCATTTGTGTGTATGTCAACGACCATGACATCCTTATTCAATCAAACATCACATTACTAATAATAATATATTAGTATGAATCACTCACTTACTGTCAATCCAACAACAATTGTTTGAACAATGCATTAATAGATCTTAGGATTCAATCATACATTAATTACTATACTATAATATATATATACTTGTTGTAATAATAACAATAATAATTGTCAACAATCACATAAAATGAAATACTTTAAGCGTTCACCATTTCCAACGACGTCCAACTTTAAGTTGACAATGTTGTTCCTATTTGCATTGCTTGTCACAATAATGTTTATCAGTCAGATTCACAACACCACCACATGTCTGGACAATGACCTAAATAATAATATTAATAATAATAATAATAATTTAAAGAGCAACCCAGATCAGACAGAAAAGAATATCAACTCAATCATTGATAAACCATCAGTTCTCACAAAGGAAAAGGTGGTCGAGGCACATCGTGTCAAGATTCTACTGAATACAATTGATTCATCCAATCACAATCCTTATACATCCAACGCTCTGCTTCAGACCTACTTAACCTATCTTCACTATCACCAACAATACACACATGTCATTCCCAAATCACCATCGAAATATCAATACAAGGACATCATAACATCCACGACAATTCCCGATCGTGCCTTCACCAACACAGCAGTACCACCACTCAAGGACTTGGAGAGGGAGTTGGCCAAATTCTTTACGGACAATCAATTGACTCCAGACAATCTCTACTGGATGGACACTTACACGATCAATCAGTTGGATAATCTGGAAAAGAGGAGACTCGAGTCAGAGGTGGTCGATGAGTTCTACTCATATGAGACCAAGATGGACCAACTTCAAACCATTCAGAAGGAGTATGAGATGAAGGAGGCTTTGCCAGAGTTTGATCTACCACTGGAGCCCATCCATCCCAGACCAATGATCTCAGCTCCCTACCTCTTCCTACATGTTCCAAAGACTGGTGGCAACACAATCGTCAACCTCTTCAAGTTCACATATGGTACCACCAAGGTGCGTCATCAGTGGGTACACCCTGGATACAGAGAGAAGAATATTTTGGCTGGACAGAAGGCAATTGTTGGTCATTTCAACTATGGTCTGCATACCTATCTGGAGGGTGAAGAGAGGGACAACTTCTCCTACATGACCCTATTGCGTGATCCTGTCGAGCGAGTACTGTCACATTACTTCTATCATAGAGAGAACCTTGAGGATCCAGAGCATGACCTGGCTGAGAGACTGCCATTGGCTGTATGTATCAATAATCAATTTTAATTATTTGGAATCGATGTATTAACACCTATCTTCTCATCAATATTATCTTTAGGATTGGATACTTCAATCTCCAAGAGGATCAAATGAACAAACAAGAGTACTCTCTGGAATTGCAGCAACAACAGAGTCAAGGGTCTCTGATGAGTCCTTCAGGATGGCAATGTACCATTTGAGAAAGTATGTATAAACAGTATCTCTTTTATTGTTGATCATCTATTAACAAACTTGACCTATTACAACAATGTAGAATGAAGTTTGTTGGTATCACAGAGAGATTCATGGAGACAACAGTGTTGATGAAGTACTACTGTGGCCTGAGCACAATGAGAGATATCAAGCTGAATCAGAGAAGATCAAAGGTTGATGCCTCATCCATCCCAAAGGAGACCATTGAGTTGATCAGGAAACACAACTGGATGGACATTCATCTCTATGAGGAGGCTCTCAAGATGTTTGAGAGACAGTTGGATATTGTTGGTAGGGAGAGAGTGAACCAAGAGGTAATGACAGAGTCACTGTGGAAGTGATCACTGTTATAAATATCTTTTATATATAAAATTGTAATAAAGAAAAAGATACATCCATAATGGTTGTGTCTAAATGTATACATATATATCATAATAATAATAGTTATAAAAGTACAGATTTATTGCTAGACAGCCAATTCTAATGTCCTGGAGAGTATAATGTCTTGTACAGAGTTAAATACGTTCTCAAAGGACTTGGTATCTGTTGCACAGGTGAAGTGGTAGTATATATACTTGGAGCGATCGTTGACTCTTTTTTTGCTCAAGAACTGATTCTTGATGTAGTTGGAGGCCTTATCATAGGAATGATCATCTAAGGAAATGGACCAACATTGTTAATTATTATCTCTCCAACTACTACAACAACTACAATACTACATACCTTTGTAATCAGGGAAGCAGATTTGCAATGGAGTTCTCTTGAGCTTCTCTCTAAAGATATCAATCTTGTTGAGGAAGAGGATGATTGATGTGTTTGGATAGGTTGGGTCATTGCACACTTGATCAAACAACGTCAGTGACTCTTGTAGACGATTGGTGGAGTTGTCCTCTACCAATACCTGGTCGTACTCATTGATGGCAGACACATAGATAATGGCCGTTACGTCATCAAAGAAGGAGATCCACTTCTTTCGCTCGCCTCTCTGTCCACCGACATCGACAATCCTAAACAATACCTCCAGTACCTTAAAGTCTGTCTCCACCACTCCATTGGTGGTGCTCCTTGATTTAAGAATGTCCAGACTGGATGGCACATAGCTTGGCTTGGTGATCCTCTTGATTTCATTCAAGTAACTGATAGGTCATTGCATTAATGATGTGTTAGTGCATGCGAATTGCAGGTAACAGCAAGTAGATGGATCATCCAAACTACACTTACAATTGAGTACTCTCATTGATGTGGTATTGTTGGGCCTTGATGAGTACATCGGATTGTACGACGGAGTCGGACCACAATGTTGTGATGTAGTTGGAGATGATGGGAGGAATACCATTCTCTTCGATGTTATAGATGCTCTTTGATTCGCTATTGTTTCTGCTGTGTGATTTGTTCTTTCTATCGGTTTGTTGATTGTTGCCGCTGCTTGTGGTGGCTGTGCTGGTGTTGTTGTCGGCCGATGGCGTATTGCTAATATCAAGCTCTGACATTGATGTACTCAGTTCTGAACTAGTAGTGGTGTTGGTGTTGGGAGTTGATGGTGTTGATGGTGGAGTGTTTGCGTCAGCAGGTGATTGGCTACCTGTAGGAGAAGTAATACCATTGAAGCGAAGGACAGTTGGTCTCTGTTGTTCATAGACCTTATGCCAAGTCATAAAGTGTTCGATGGCCATCCTCGTCTCTGGTGACACCTCGATGTTATGCTCGGTGATGACTCGCACCAATATTGCAACACCATCTATTAGATTGCGTTGCACCAACTGTCTGTAAAAGTCCTTCTCATCAGGTGAGAAACCCTTTGAGTGTAGGATCTTCATCTGCTTCACAATGGTACTCTTGCCAGACTCGCCCGTGCCCAATAGTAGGAGCTTGATGATTGTCGTCTTGTTTTGAACCTTTGAGTCCGTCTTTAGCATCTTCTCGATCTGCTTGTGCTTCTGCAGTCTTGACTCGTCGCTCTCATGTGCAAAGCTAGCAGCCTCACGAATGGCCTCTATCCACATTATCTGCTGTGCCTTTGTACTGGCCGATATGATCCAAGACTTGCCCTCTGTCGTCTCTACAATGAAACAAAACTCTCTGGCATTGTGACTCTTGTTGTGAATGTACTCCTCCACCTTTGCATTGAATAGAGGTATCCTTCCCTGAGGTTGATGTTGTTGTTCTTTCTGCAGAGGTGTGAGAGGAAGGAGAAGTAAGTACATTTTGCCCTCTGACTGACTGACTGACTTGTTGTACTCACTGTTTCATCCACAAAGTATTCACAGTAGTTTGATCCAACCTTTAGCACAAACAATCTTAACTTCCAGTTCTTGACAACTATAGTGAATGTGTTAGTTGTAGTGCATATGTCGAGGAGATCTATATGGATGACTTACCATGACCCTTTTTGCAAAGGTATGATCTGATAACACGACCAGGCCCAGTGGAAGTTTGAAGGTTTGAGCCATTTAATGAGGGTGATGATACTGGCTCCATATTATATATATAAATCAATCACTCACTCACACTCTACAACAACAACAATAATAATAATAATAATAAGTATAATAGTATTTATCTATCTGTTTTAATTTATAACAACTTTCACATAATGTCTCGGAGTGATTCAAGGTGAGAGAGACTTTCATTCAAACAGATTCTGTGTCTGCCAGACAAAGATATTTTGAGATTCAATTCGAAAAGTTTGGTCCTGATTAAAAATTTGTTTGCAAAAGCAATTCCATAATAAAAATAATAATAGTAATAATAACAAACTCTTAAAACCTATACAAAGGGTCAACATAAAGATAGAGGAAAGAGATAGACAGATCATCCAACTTTAGTGTTTCCCATCCGATTTGTTATTTTTTTCAGAATTAAGTTGTAAACAGATAAGAATCCACAGATTGGAGACCAGGGACCGATTATTGGCAATAGCTCTAGTTATCAAATAACTATTAAATCAACCAACCAGTTGGGGGACTAACCTAAGGTTATTATTTGTTAAGAGTGACCTCAGTCAAAGCATTTGACTTTTTTTTTTCCATCATAAAACAAACACACACTCATTCGACAAAGTTGAACACAAACAACAACACAAACAACATCAACATCACCATTTTCATTCACACTGTGAACAAACAAACAAACAGACATACATATATAAAATATAAATATGGCAACAAAGGATAAGAAAGAACCACAACAGAAACAAGTAAAGTCAAAGGAGGCCAAGGATAAGCTAAACACTGCTGGTGTTGGCAAGGAGGAGGACTTCTCAGAGTGGTACACCAACGTCATCACTCGTTCAGAGATGATCGACTACTATGACATCTCTGGTTGCTACGTGCTCAGACCATGGTCATACAACATCTGGGAGCAGATTCAAGCATTCTTTGATGCCGAGATCAAGAAGTTGGGCGTTCAGAACGCTTACTTCCCACTGCTCGTCTCGGAGAAGGCCTTGACCACCGAGAAGGACCACATTGAGGGATTCGCCCCAGAGGTCGCATGGGTTACCAAGTCGGGCCAATCACAGCTCTCCGAGCCAGTCGCCATCCGTCCAACATCAGAGACCATCATGTACCCAGCCTACGCCAAGTGGATTCGCTCGCATCGTGATCTCCCACTGAAGCTCAACCAATGGGTCAACGTCGTGCGTTGGGAGTTCAAGCACGCCGTGCCATTCTTGAGATCAAGAGAGTTCCTCTGGCAGGAGGGTCACACTGTCTTCTCCACCAAGGAGGAGGCCGACAAGGAGGTCTTCCAGATTCTCAGACTGTACAAGCGTGTCTATGAGGAGTTGCTCGCTGTGCCAATGATCGAGGGTCTCAAGTCCGAGAAGGAGAAGTTTGCTGGTGGTCTCTACACCTCCACCATCGAGGGCTTCATCCCAACCAACGGTCGTGGAATCCAGGCCGCCACCTCTCACTGTCTCGGTCAGAACTTCTCCAAGATGTTCAACATTGAGTTCGAGGACGACAAGGGAGGCAAGTCGCTGGCATGGCAAAACTCGTGGGGCATCACCACCAGAACAATTGGTGTGATGGTCATGGTCCACGGAGATGACAATGGTCTCGTCTTGCCACCAAGAGTTGCTCCAATCCAGGCAGTGGTCGTCCCACTCTACTTCTCTGGCAGTGACAACTCTGTTGTCGACAAGAGGTCAGAGGAGGTCGTCCAGCTCCTCAAGGACGCTGGCATTCGTGCTCACCTTGACGCTCGTCCAGGCTACAGTCCACGTGACAAGTTCCAGCAATGGGAGCTCAAGGGTGTCCCAATCCGTATCGAGATCGGACCAAAGGACATTGAGAAGAACTGCGTGATGATCTGTCGTCGTGACAACCGCGAGAAGAGCTCTGTCGCCGATGCCAGTTTGGTTCAAACGATCAGCGAGACCTTGCAAGCCATCCAGGCCAACCTCTTGGCCCGTGCCACCAAGACCCGTAACGAGTCAATCACCCCAATCACCCAATGGCCAGAGTTTGTCCCAACATTGGACAAGCGTCACTTGGTGTTGGCACCATGGTGTGAGGTGCCAGAGTGTGAGGATGGCGTCAAGAAGCGTTCCAACGAGGAGTCTCTGAAGAACAAGGACGAGTCCGAGAAGGGTTTCCGCTTGACCGGTGCCGCCAAGTCACTCTGTATCCCACTCAACCCAGCCGAGTTGAGAGATCTTCCAGCCATCACCGCCGAGACCTGTTGTTTCGCCTGTGAGAGAAAGGCCAAGAAGTGGACACTCTTTGGAAGAAGTTATTAAATCGTTTCAGATCACAATAATGTTGCTCAACAACGCAATCATCATCAAACAGTCTACGTCTTTCTGAGTTGTTTGTGTGTTTTGTGCTAAAGTGGTCATCTTTCTTGATCGATTTTTGTTTTGGTCACTCTTTTGACGACCAGGTCACAGCCAATCGTCATCATTCTGTTTCAAAACTTCCTGTCGACTCAAGACAAAGATAGATAATTATATATATAAGTAGCAAGTCAGTTTAAACAACAACAGCCAACAGATATCTCAACAAAGAAATACTACACCAAAATAAGATGGTATTGCCACTGTTAAAGGTTGGAAGCTTGTTTGTAAAGAGTTTGGCAAAGCCTTTCTCAAAGCAGGTCAAGGCAGTGGCAAGCAAGTCCCCTCGCTTCCATGACTCTATGGTCTGGGTTGCTCGTGGTTTCTACAAGATTGGTAGGGATTGAATATAACATTTTTTAGAGTTGGAGGAGGTCCAAGACTAACTGACGCTCTGTGAACACAACAGACCTATATCTGACAAAGATTAGTGGCGATACAACTAGAAAGGCAACACAACTCAATGTAAATAGTGCGATTGATCTAGGTAGTGAGATGGCAAGTGAGTTCTTTTTACTTGCGGTGGCCGTTGGACTACTCGCCTACGAGAACAATCGATCGGCAGAGAAGGAAAAGAAGAAGGAGGAGGCACTCAGCTCTCGATTCCAGTCGTTGGAGGAGACGATCAAGCAGCAGAATGAGACCATCGATCAACTCAAGAGTATGGTTGGACAGATGAACAACGCTGGCAGCATTGTACTTCCAGCTGGTGCATCAGAATCACATGTTGCTAGTAGTAACAGTAACATGTCGCCAAAGCAAATGGCCTTTAGAATACCAGAATACGACAGTATACTAAAGGTGGACAAAGGACATGTCGTCTTGTAATACACATGTAGTATATAATATATATATAAGTAGTCTATATAGAGCAATCTAGTGAGCGAACGAGCTTACTTGGTTAAACGAATAAAACAGGAACACTCTCCAGTAGTGAGTGTGATGATTGCGGTCAATCAACCAATCAATCGATCCAATCAATTATTATTGTTAACAGTGTACATTGATGTTGCCAACTCACAGGTAGTTAGCAGTGGCAGCTCGCCTACATCTATTCTCGTTATGGACGACATAACATCCAGGACTGCAGTATCGCATGGTGCACTGCTTGCACGAGTAGTTTCCAATGCCTCCACATATCGAACAAAAGTGTCGTGGAGGATAGATCGATGGAGCAGATTGTACCGACAGATATGTTGGCACGTGTGAAGGGTGTGTGTCCAGGTACTGCAGCAGCAAGAATGAACAATCTAAGTTAGACACACCTGATATCAACAGTGAAGCAGCAGCAACAGTTTGCAAACTTACAGATTTCTCAAGGACCAGAGGGAATGACATGATCTTTGTCTCATGCTTCTTGCGTTCGCGATCCCTATTTATCTTTCTCTTGTTCTTTGGAGTAGAGTAGACCATATCATCGTCGTCGTCGACGTAGTCATCGTCATCGTCTAGGTCTTGAGCGATCTCATTGTCATTCTCCAGCTGATCTATATGTGTAGCAATCTGACACTGTCTCAAAACTTGTCTATCACTCTCTGTCTGCACCCTGAACCTCTTTGACAAAACACTCTTCCTCTTTGCCGCAGTGTACTCTGTGGATGCTACCACGATAGGAGGTGGAGGTGGTGTCCTTGATGACATTCTCTCTCTATACTAACACTATATATATTACATACAACACAGTGTTTCTTATTTGTACTATTTATCTCTATCGATTAACATGTAGTTCAAAAAACACCAATTTATTTATTTTTTGAATGATTTTGGTGTTACAAAGGCAAGGCTGATCATCCAAACACACAAAATGATCACGATAAATGAGTCTCTTTATCACAACTGACACTACTATCTTTTCGGGACTACTGTTAGCAACAACAACGATAACATAAATATATAATAATGCTTGCTAACAACACCATTAAACATACACCAATGTACGTTCAAGTCTATCAATCAGATCACAGGAAATGATAAACAGGGGGCAACAACAACAGCATCAGCAGCAGCAACATCATATTGACATCTATCATTCATCGTCATTACAAAACAGAACTTCATTGTTGAACAGATACTTTGCTTCAGCCGTTTCACAGGGAGCCAAGTTCACACCATCCAATGAGACTGTCCCAGTAAGATTGGAGAAGGCCGCTCAGAAGTACCCATTCTTTGATGCACTCTTGTTCCCCAACGAGGCCAGCAGTCTTAAGTTCAACTTTAAGGAGCTTTGGGGTGGTGTCAGCGGACTGGCCAGTGGCTTCGTGGAGGCCAACATCAAGAACCAACAACCAGTGATGACCAACGCACCTCAATCATCAGAGCACGTATTTACTCAAATGGCTGCCGCTGCTGCTGGCGTCCCATTTGTGCCCGTCGCCCCAGAGTCAACACTCAGCCAAATTGGGTAGGTACCAAAGAAACAGATTAATAGGTAGACTACAATTTCATGCGACATGGCACTGACTTCATCATCATCGTCATCATACCACAATATCCAGTGAGGTTTTGGCTACATCCTCATCAAAGGCTTTGGTGTTGGCTGAGGTTAAGAACAGAGTGATTGTTGATGAGGCCATTGCCTTCTTCCCCAACCTTGACAGAAGTAACGTATCGTCATCAACGATGTGTCAATCTTTGAAACAAAAACGTGAATACTCACTCACAACTCGCTCATATCAATCAATCGATCAATCAATCAATCAATTAGTCACTATGGATGAATATCACAGAGACAGCCGATTCCCAGAGTTGAAATACATCATCACTACTAGCGACTTCCAGGAGCCAGGTATCGACCTTTTCAAGGAGTTTGTTCTCCAAGTGAACCTGTTGAAGAAGACAAAGACTACCCCAACATCTCTGTCCACTTTGATTCCAACAAAGGTAAGAAAGAACGTCCTCCTGTATACCATGAAGACCATCATCTCTTACACTTTTTGTCGATTCTTTATAGGATGGTAAATTGGTTGGCTTCACACAAAACTCATTGATCAACACTGGAGATGCATTGTTTGGATTGTTGGGATTGAGGACCCAAGACAGAGTTTCATTCAGTGTACCATTCCACAATGGCACTTCCTATGCCCTGTACCTCGGTTGTTTGTCCAACGGAACATTGGTCATCGTTCCAAGCCATTCGTTCTCTGTCGAGACCACACTTAGCACCATCCACGAGAACAAGTCTTCGATGTTGGTCGTCAGTGGTGAGCAGCTTGAGGCCCTGCTGACAAGCGATAAGCTCAACAAGTTCGACTTGAAGTCGCTGCAGTCATTGGTTGTCTGTGGTAATGTGAAGTTGGACTTGTTGAAGCAAGCAGAGGAGAGACTCAAGGTCAAGAGAATATCAAACATCGACGTTGTTGTGAACACACCAGGTCAGTTGACTGGAGTGGTGTTTAACCAATCTGGTGTTGGTCAGTTGCTGCCAGGAATAGAGGCAAAGGTCGTTGACAAGTCAGGAAAGACCGTCGAGCAAGGTCAGACTGGTACTCTCTACACGAAGGGATACCATGTCAACAACAATGTCAAGGACTGGTTGGATACTGAGGTTTCTGCAAAGATCAATCAAGATGGAACCATCACCAAACTTTAGAGATATTCACGTCTTAGACTCTAAATTCCCATTAACATCGCTTAAATAAATAATGTAATACTCAATTAAAAGTAAGTCGACCTATACGCTGGGCTATGAGTAGCCTTGATTATATTGTTGGAAACTATTCAAAGTGTTGTTGAGGTTGTTGTTGTTGTTGTTGCTAATGTTGTTGTTGTTGCTAATGTTGTTGTTGAAACCTTGTTGTTGGAAACTATTCAAGTTGTCATTAAAGTTATTGTAGAAGTTTCCATCATTGCCATTGAATCCATTGTAGTTATTGTTGTTGCTGAAACCTTGTTGTTGTTGTCCTTGGAAGGTATTAAAGTTGTTGACAGGAGTGTTGGTAAATGAATTTACATAGTTATTACCAAATGCACCATTGGTTGAGTTGAAGGACTGGTTATAGTTGATGTTGCCTCCAAAGTTTAGATTGTTGTTGTTCATATTGTTGATGTTGTTGTTGTTCATTGCCATGTCCATTCCATTGCCAAATAAATAATTGTTATTGATGTTGCTGTTGTTGTTGTTGTTGTTAAAGGCCATGTTATCATATGAATTCTGTTGATTAGTGATGGAAGAGGTAAATGATGGCACTGTGTAGAGGATATTGTCAAAGTTGGGTGATGACGACATTTGTTGTAGTTGCATTGGAGTTGGTTCAGGTGCATCCAGGAAGGAGAACACAGGAACCTTAGACTCGTCATAGTCCTCCACAGAGTCGGGCTCTTTGGGATTGTCAGGGATGTTGGCAGCAAAGTATACCTCCATCAGGGTGAAGTTCTCGCGCTCTGCCTGTGCAATCTTCTCTGTGCTGGCTGAGCCCTCATCAAGTGCAGGTAGGGAATCGACATCCAGCATTGATGGAGTGGTCCAAAGTGTGGTGGTTTCCATTCTTTTGGAACCAGAGTTAAGGTTGAATCGTTTCTCGCCTTCGTGCTCTGCTGCTTTCGCCATTTCAAAGTCCTTTGTTTCATGGATCTCCTCAACTTCTGTCGTGAACTCCTTGATCTGTAGTAGTTGGTCGTCAGATGCCCACCTTACATTGACACGACCTTTGCTTGACTTCCTTCTGTTGGGGTCTGGAACGGGTTCATTGTCGTTGGCGAGTGGTAGATCATCATCCCAAGCACTGTGAGAGTCTGTCAGGTCAAGCAACGACACTGAGCCAACGCTGTTGGGATTGATGTTGACGTTTGGTGCCATCGTTTCTATTGGTTTGACAGCGGTGTCAAGTCTAGGAGGTAGCTTCCATTGTGGTTGATGCTGCTGTGGGTGTTGTTTGTTGATCATCTCTGCTGGCTGCTTCCTATAGGATGTGGGTGGTATAAATATCTTGGATGAAGCCTTGGACGGTTGTGGTGTTGCTGATGGCTTGGCTCCTTTGTTGTTAGAGAGGTTCTTCATAAAGTTGTCATCGTAATCCTAAAGGTTGATTATAAATATTTGTTAGTTTCATGTATTCCTCTGATTCTTTGATACCTACGCTTTTGGCAATGGCTGAGGATGGCGTAGCGGTTAACATCTTTGTTGTTGGTTTCAGTGGCGGACTATCATTCTTTGTCTTTTTTGAGGTATCTAGTTGAGATTAATGGATTCGGATGGTATCATTGAGTATCAGTGGACAGTTCAAACTAGTTAGATCGGGTGGTGCCAGTGATTTATTAATAACTCTAATAAGAGTGAGGTTGATATTACCTTTGTCCATTGTGTTTGCGCCCTCCCTTGTCCTCTTTTTCAGGCCACCCTGGTCGTCATCAGAGATCTTTGGTTCCTTTTTGACAAGGTCCATCCAGTCCTGCTCGATATTGCTTGCCAGTTCTCTGACAGTGTCGTTGCTATGCCTTTTAAATGATCTAACTGTCTTTCCAATAGTGCCACAACTCTTTAAATGCTCCAGTGTTGCTGGTAGACCCTTTAGTGCCTAATAAGACCAATGACAAAAGATCCGAGTGTCAGTCATCTCTATCCTCTTTCAATCACATTCATTCATCATGCYTTACTTTGAGTAATAGTATTAGGTCTCTTGGGATGGTGATGGTCTGTTGTGCATACTTGAGACAGGTATGAAGTTGAGTCAATCCGCCTTGTTGCAAGTATCTGTGTATAATTCTCTTGTTAATACGATGGAATACACCATTCTCTCGAATATGTAATACAAACCTTCTCTTGCAGGACTTGCTGATCTTCCCCTCTAGCACTTGAAGAAACTCTCGAATTGTTGTCCAAGATGCACATGTCTCAAACTCTTGGGCAAAGGSCAGGGACTTTGTCGACGATACATAGACTGCCATTGGCGTCGCGCCACTCGGGTATTTTGACAGCATTGCCAGATCGTTCTTGTGCCAGCTTCTTTGGGTCGCGAGGTTGTTGAAACAGATACTGCTCCAACGTTGGCCGTTGTGCCTCCTCAAGAAGTTCATTGGCAGTCAGCCTGACCTGGTTTGACGCTGCTGTTGGTCCTTTCTCTACACTACCAATTGGTCTTTTTGATTCTGTTGTCTTTGTATTCTTTTCCTCTGATGCCCTGGGTGATTCTTTCTTGCTTGAAGTGCTTCCTCTCTCAATAGGAATGCTCTCTATCGAACTCCTAAGGTTGTTGATGCTGTTTTTGCTGATACTGCTGTTGTTGTTGTTGTCGTTGTTGTCTAGATGTTCATTCTGTAGTTGATCATTCAAAGGTTCTCTTTTAGGAGCTTCAAAAGGTTCAATCTCTACTGTGATGCTTTTGAACACTGGTTCTTTAACCTGATTGTCATTGGAGAGTGATTCCAGTGATGATGACAATGGCGTTGATTCTGCATTTTGTTTATGTTGATCTTGTTCCTGCATTTTTGTTGTTGTCGTAGTCGTTTGTAATGTAGTTGACTCCTCTGTGTGTTGTTGTTGTCGTTTGTTTGATGAATTAGTGACACCAGGTCTACCTTGAAAGGTGAGCACCAAAGGTAAAGACCGCTGTGTGTGATCAAAAATGAAAAGAGATAATAGTTCTATGTATATGTTAGTAACAATGATATGATTGAATGATCTAAAGAAAAGATATAATTCTATCTCTCTTTTTTGAATTGTTGGACACTGTAAATAATCAACATAGTTTTTTTTTTTCAAACACCTAATTTGGATTACCCCGCTTCTTCTTTGTCCTGTGTACTTAGCCTTTCCTTTTTAAGTAAGATGGAGGAAAAGTTAATGTGCCTGTTGTTTGAAGGTGAAGATAATTAATGAATATATATTCTTAACCTTATTATTTTCTTCAATTAATAATGACACAAACTAGATTTCAATAATAATTAGACCAATATAATTATATTACAAGAACAAATGAACTTTGAAGACAATTCCCATTCTAATGATCCCATGGTGGTTCCAACTACAACTCTATCTACATTAGTTGTATCATCAAGCGAAGTACCTATTATCATACCTTCACCTATAAAGATTAGTCCAGATCTACAAGCTTTGTCCAATTCAGATGAGAAGTTAACTCATATGCAATGGATTGTGCACGAGTTCTATAATACATTATTTCATTTCCATCCCAATGCACAGATACACTCTGAGCATTCTGTAAATCAACATGACGCCTATTCTATTATCTACACCCCAAACATCCCTGTAAAATACCTAAACAAACAACTTCATCCATCTTTACAACAACAACAACAACAACAACAACAACAACAACAACAACAACAACAACAACAACAACTACAACATCAACAATGTTATAACACTTCTGACAATACTATGCCTCAACAGCCTGACTTAAAACATACACCATCTCCAGAGATACATATTCAAATTCAATCTCATCACTCTATTGTCCCTTCCACCCCTACCTTCAATTGCAATGACCAGATTTGTGAGAGTTTGAATGATAGAAAGCTCTCTACTGACTCAACACACAACCAGAGTGTCATCAATACTCCAAATATCGATACTGTATCACTACCAATCATCTTATCAACTCCTGACACTGTATTTAAAGTTCCCAAATACTCTATCACACCTCAAACAATGGAAAATACTCTTCCAAAGTTAGATTCAACAACCCAACCAAATCGACAACTACAACAAAATGATAAGGAGCTAAATAATAGTAGTGGAGACATCAGAGTTGGAGGAAGTAACATCGTCAGGAAGGCAAGTTCAGGATACAACAATATTGCCCCTTTCGATTACTTTGATCCTTGGGAAATTGAAAGAAAGAATAGTAATCCCTACTCCTCATCCTTCTACTTTGATCGTCGGAACAGCCTAATTCCAGAAAGAGGTAGCATTGTTGATAGAAAGTTGAGTGCTAGTTCATTTTTGTTGGGTGATATGGACAGTGCACCTCCCTTACTACCCGATATCGATTGGAATAGGAAACCGTCCACAGAGATATTGGAACCAATGATCACCTTTATAGACATACCAACATCTTCAGGAAGAAAGGACACTGATATGAGAGAAGATCATCAAACTGGACAAAACAGACAACCTCTGACTATATAAACCTTTAGGGAATAAATACTGCATTATGGTTAAAGTTAAAGGAGCCAGTTATAATTTAAAATCTCTATAAAAGAAGTTTTTTACATTTCTTATTGATCTCTGACACTGTCTATCCTGATATGGATGATCCTGTCTAGGTAGGCTATATTGGATCCGGATTGTTGTGCAAATATAAGATGTACAGTGCCAGTTAACACGTTCAAAACCCATGTTTTTGATGGACAACAGGTCACTTTGTCCTACTATCTTATCATTCATTCTGAGACCATTATAATACCTACAATTTAAGAGGAGATGTCACACCAACATGACTTGAAAGACGATAGTGTACATACTCATCATCATCATCATCATCAAGATGATAACACTCATGACCACGGTCACAACTTTGAAGAAGACGACGGTGGCGATAACGAGGAGGAGGAAACTAAGCACTTTAGAAAGGTTGTGGACTCATTCTTCAACTATCGAGAATACTCTATCGATTGGGCAAATCACATGGAGGACTACTTCATAAACAAACTAACTGATGCACAAAAGGTAGATATTGTTATAGTCATCGGTAGTAGAGTGAGAACACGAATACTGACTACAATATGTCTCAGCTACTGTTACCGAACTATAGCGGTAAGCTGAGTGCACTGCGACAGGGTGCCTTGGGAAATGCCAACTTCCTGACAAAGATTGCTCAGGAATGCAACCAGGTGTTCATGCCAGAGAAGTCGACATCACCCATTCCCATGGTCAATCAGGATGGACACATCAGCTTCGCACCAGACCCACGTAACATTGACAAGGTGAAGAGCACCATCAGACAGTTTGCTAGAGAGTGGAGCGTAGAGGGCAAGAAAGAGAGAGATACGACCTTCTTGCCAATTCTGGAACGTCTCGAATCATTATACCCAGACAAAGAAAAAAGGAGTCATATTAGAGTATACTGTCCAGGTGCAGGCCTGGGTCGTCTATGTCTAGAGGTGGTATCCAGAGGATTCTCATGTCAGGGCATCGAGTTTAGCTACTTTATGTTGCTATCATCAAGTTTTATATTGAACAAGTAGGTGTAATATTATAGCTGAATAACAACAACCGGACTGACTGATATACTTGTAATCATAGGACTAGCAAGATCAATGAGTTCACCATATATCCATTCATCCACCAGTCAGTAAATGTGTTGCGAGATGTCGATCAGATACGACCAGTGAAGATACCCGATGTACTTCCACACGAGATGATCCCAAACGATGACAACATCGAGTTTTCCATGGTAGCTGGCGACTTTACAAAGTCAGTTCAAGATGGTAAGCGTCCAGCAGCAGCGACAAGAATCAGCGCCTAGATCATATGTGACTAACCAAATACCTCCAACACCGGTGTCCAGATCACTTTGACAGCGTTTGTACTTGCTTCTTCATAGATACAGCACGAAACATTGTAGAGTATGTCGAGTGCCTTGTCAGGATGCTAAAGGAGGGTGGACACTGGATCAACTTTGGTCCACTGCTGTATCACTACGCCGATAATAAGGATTCAATAGAGCTGAGCTATGAACAGCTGCGGTATGTCATTCTAAACAGTGGATTCGATATATTGCATGAGGAGCTCAGAGAAACAGAGTATACATCCAACAAACATTCATTGATGAAGGTCATCTACAATTGTCAGTACTTTGTGGCAATAAAGAAGAAGAAGTAGACTTTAATATGTTCTATCTGCTGCTCGTTTATATGTAGTTCATTGTTGTTGTTGTTGTAGTTGTGGTTGTTGAAGAAGTGAGTACCCAGCAATGTGCTGGATGGTGATGCCCAACCTGTTTCATCAGCAGCAGCAGTAGCAGTCGCTATTGAAGTCGACCCATGGTGTTGTTATTGTTAACTCTTCAAGAAAAGGGTATCAGCTTCTTCTTTGAGCTTCTTGAGTTGTTCCTTTTGTTTGTCAGTCATTCGAGTGGACTCGTCTGAGGATAGATCGCGACCAACCACCAGGTCAGTATGGGGACTCTCGAAGTCGCTTGAAGCCATTACTACATTTTCAATGCCCTCCACACGCTGATTGATCATAAAGTGTAGATACTCGTTCCATTTGGAGTAAAAGACATTGGCGAGTGATTGATTGACATTCTTATGTAGTCTCCACTCTGTTCTGACGTATTGATCACCCATCGATCGCATTGGTTCGGTGAGTACTCTATGACATCGCAGAATGTTCTTGTATAAAGCCAATGACTGAGTCTTTGTAATCACCATTGTTCTCTCTATCTTTCTGAGTACTTCAAACAATCGACTGCTCTTTTGCAACTTTCAACCCGGAAGCAGTCTATAGATCTTTTCAAACCCTAAACTCTAATGGTTTGGTATGCATCTTTGATGATAAATCAACAGCTCAACCTTGATCAAGATTATCAGGGATGTCCAGCTGGTGGTGGACCAAACATTATCAGCATATATGCTACTTGTTATCGTTCTTATCCCTATCTATCAGGCAAGACAGGCCACCACCACACCCGCACTTTTGGCTGCACTTGCGTCCATCTTTGGCACAAAGGCTTTGACGGCCACTTCCCAATTTCTTACAACCACCAACCTTGCAGTTGCAGTGCTTGAATAGTAGTTAGTAATCAAGTGACCCGTGTGTATGGTGTTGGTAACATACCTTTGTCTTGGGAGTTTGATCGATGATGGTGGAGGATGCGATTGTCTTGGCCTTTTTCTTTGCTGGTTCGGGAATGATCTCACCTGTTGTCAAATGCTCATTGGTATATGGTATCATTGCCTTGAACGTCTGTTGTGGAACTGGTAGTCCACTGGCCTTTGCATTGGTGATTGATTGTTGTCGCTTGTGCGGTGTTTCACCTCCTATCTTGATGGATTGAGGCGCAACCTTAAGTCTGCTGGACATAGTCATAAGCGATCGATTTGGTGTTGATGGGGAAGATGATAATGATGGTGTATTTACAAGTTTTGTTGTTGTTGTTGTTGTTGTTGTTGTTGTGTG